AACATCAACACCCCCCCCCCCAAAAAAAAGCCTTTTGTTGCATGCCTGACTGATTTGTTGGATAAATCGCGCACACATTCTCTCCCCTGCCCTTGTATGATCATTTATCCGAAGTGTTATTTTTAATATAAGTTATTCTATTTGCATTCCAAAGATCTTTTTTTTATCTTCAATAATAATAATAATAATAATAATAATAATAATAACAATAATAATAAAAATAATCATAATAATAACAGTGTTGAACGTGTTATACCTCACCAATATGTATGCTGCACATGTGTTCATATGCTGTTTTACGAATTTGTAAATACAAAATAAATACATGTCTGAAAATACGTTGTTTTCCAATATCCTCAATTTTTCTCTCAAACGTTATGTTATCTGCTGATATGTTTTTCCCTGATCATTTTCATATTGTTTTTGTTTTTTTAATGGAATAAACTTCGCTTTCATCTTGACAGCTGTTATTAAATGCAATGCTGAACGATGTGTCTAAAATGCATCCTATACAATGCATTGTTCAAATATGATTTCGGTGTTCCCCACAAACACAAAATGCGAGTTGTCTTGAGAAATCAGGGGCTGGCGATGATTAATTTTGCCTTGCCGCTCGTGATCTTGGTACATTACGTCCTGTAATCTCGTTTTAAATCATAACCCGTCCCACTGCCCCACCCCTTTCCCCGGTTAATTTAACGGCAGCGTGCAGCACGTTGAACGGTGGATGTGGGGCCGAGCGACTGTACTTCCATTTCGCTTTGGATAATAATTAAAATAATAATAATTTGGTTGCGGTATTGGATGCGTTAATGAAGGGAATTTAGGCACAGCTGTTTATTCTTGTTCCCTGCCTCAGTGTTGTGTGAGCGCGTGTGTCGTATTTTTTTTCTCCTTTTATAATGTAAAAAAGGGAGAGGGTCGGCGCCATAGCTCAAACCCTGACAAGCAAATAGATAATCAACAAGACGAATGACTTCTTTTGTAAGGCTCGGCTCCCGTATTAATTTTCATTTTCTTCAAGAGCAGGTATCGAAAAATAAAGAGCAAGAGAGGGTGCGGGGCGAGAAAATAGCACTCCTCGCGATGAACTTTAAACTAAAAAAAATGTGCCCCCTAAATTGGCCCTCTCGTATTCCTCGGCCCAGAGAAGATTCCCCATTACACGTTGGCTGATTTCTCCCTGGGCCCCTTGCCAAAGAGACTCCCCTTGCCCATTTATCTATTTTATTCCATTTATGAAAGCCCATTGCACCGTGAAAAAAATCCCGCCCCGTATCAAACAGCACGCATGTGTTCAAAATGTCCAAGAAAACAAATTAGAATAGTGTCCCTTGTGCTTGTGTCCCGCTTGCATCTCGACGCACCTGCCTGGCCCTTTTCCAGCTTTTTACGCATGTGGGACAACGGTTGAACGTGCAAAATAACGACAGCCCTTCGCTTCAAATACTTTTCATGCATTTTACGTGGCTGGTGTAAAACTCACTTTTACTTCTACGCGCTGAAAAAAAATGGTGTTTTGAATTTTTCGGCAAGCGGCTGCGTGAAATAAAATCACTTGGATCCACATACATTTCTAAGTTGATTACACAGTACATCGAAAACGTATCAGAATCCAGATGATTGTATTGTCAGTCACTTGACGATTTGTTTTTTCAACCAATGCATGTAAAATACACGCTACCATATTGTCAAAATATATTTTCACAATCCCGCAACTCGATATATTCAATCTTAAAATAAATGATCATCTGTGTGGTTACCCATATAGTGCATTAAGATGCGGCGAAGCCTCAGCTTTCGTTTTCAACCTTGTAACAGCCACGGACCTTCTGTTGCTTTCTTTTAATGGGGGAGTATTTTAGTGAGGATGCCCTTGCCCTGTGAAAAGTTTCCCACCATGAGAGAGGAAGGCTCCGACAAGAAAAATGTGAGAATTATACAAGAAATAATCATTAATCACTTGTTCTTCTTAAACCCTCTTTTTTCCCCCCTATTGTCATCTCGCAGCCTCCTCCAAGGCCCCTTCTGTCGGGAGGTGCGAGGGGCCAAGGAACAGAGGAGCTGAAGAAAAAAGAAAACATCTTGGAAGACCCCCCCCCCCCCCCCGAGCTCCAACACACTTAACACTCAAGAAAGAACACTTTTTTTCCTACCCACTCATTCACGGGCTACTTTTACGCCCTTCGAGAGTATAAGAAAGAACAACCGTTTTCCTACTCATTGGAAAGAAGGCGCGGAGAGGAAAACTGGAAGATGGCGAAGAATTTCATAAACGACGTGCCTTTCAAGGTAAGGCCTGGAAATGCAATTTCACATCTCCGCTTTTGTATGGTGGCTCCCTTGCTTCTACAGTGACGGCAGCGTGGCGTTTTAATGGTTTTATTGCCCTGTGCGCATTTGGTGGAATGAGAGGAATGGCCGTGGGGGCTTTGGGTTCGCGTGCGCGCGTCCGCAGTAGTTTGCGTGTGCGCGCACGTCTCTGGAACAGATCACGGCCTGTGTTGTTGTTGTTGTTGTTTTCTTTTTCCTTCTGTGCTTATGTTCCATGTGTCTACCCACCTTTGTGTCAAAGCGTCACTTCTATTTGTCACTCACTGGGTCTGGAGGTGGCTGAATATCTTTTTGAGTCCGTGTATGCCATTTATTGCATGTTCATTTGAATTAAATATATCGGTTTGACTGCTACTTTGTGTGTATGTGTATGTGTGTGTGTGTATTTATATATATATATATATATATATATATATATATATATATGGTTTAAATAATTTAAAATTGATAAGAACGTAGTGGGCAGAGTGAAAACGATGCAGGTTAATGATTACTTTCTGTGCTGCTGGCCGACAAAAAAAAAATATTGCATCTTTTATTTTAGTTTTTTAATGGCTGCAAACGATCGCGGGCCGGGCATGTTATCTATTGAGCAGAGCTGCTGCTTGACCCCAAAAGAAATTAATCTGACCAGAATTGGAAATAAAAAGGGCCAAAGTTCTGTTTTTTTTCTCCAGGGGATGGAAGACACAGCTCGATTCAATGCTTGGAGAAGCGAGAGAAACAAATGGAAAAATATGCAACTACTATAACGAAAGGCAGCACAGTGTGGTGTGGATTGATGGTCGTACGGGGCCGCGGCCAGACTGGGTTCAAACAGGGGACACGTTTTTCTGACCGATGAGGTCGAGTGACTCTGAAGCAAGAGGCTGACCTGTGGTTCTCCCCCTCCCTCTGTTACTCGCTTTAACCTCGCAAGGGCTCTGCATCCTCCGCTCATTCGGACATTCCCAGAGCCCCCTGGCCTCTTAGTCATAACATGCCGAGTTTAGGGCACTGTAAACCTCGGGCAGTCAGAGACAAACTGCCATGGAAGACAATCACCACTGGAGGGGTTAGATTCAGGTCACAGTGAAATGGCAAGATGTATAAATATTCACCCACACAAATATACTACATTCATTCAAAAAAAATTAGACATCGGTGGTAGCCTATAGAGATAAAATACTTAACTCAATTTTATTTAATTTAATAATTAAATAATGAAAAAAACACAGATGAAACATGTTGCTGTACATGGATACCTATTAAACAATGCAAATAAGGCAATAAAAAATAAGACAATAAAAAAGCAATAGCAACATAAACAATAAATAACAATCAGAAAAATAATAGGACCACAAGGGTAGAGTCTTCTGCGTGGATTGGTCAAGCAATAAATGTGGGCTTTAAGAGTTTTTAACACACACATCTAGATAGATAGATAGAAAGATAGATCGATAGATCCCAAATTGCAATGAAGTTGGGACATTGTGTTCAACAAAGAAAAACAGAACACAAGGATTTGCACTCATGTTCAACCTATATTAATTGAATACACTACAAAGACAAGATATTTAATGTTCAAACCGATAAACGTTTTTGCAAATCATCATTAACTTAGAATTTTACAGCTGCAACACATTCCCAAAAAGCTGGGACAAGGTCATGTTTACCACTGTGTTATATAGGAGACAGGTCTGTCTCATACCTGAAGTCTTTTACTAAGAAGCCACACTGTTGTAACACATGCAGAATGTGGTTTGGCATTGTCGTGCTGAAATAAGCAAGGACGTCCATTAAAAAGCCATTGCTTGAATGGCAGCATATGTTTCTGAAAAACCTGTAAATAACTTTCAGCATCAATGGAGCCTTCACAGAAGTTACCCATGCCATTGAGATGAACACAGCCCCATAACGCCTCAGATGCTGGGTTTTGAAGTTTGCATCCATGACAGTATGGGTGATTCCTTTCCCTTTCTCTCTTTCACAATTTCCCAAAACAACTTGAAATATGGACTCGTCTGACCACAGAACACTGTCCACTTTGTATCAGTCCATTTTAGGTGAGCTCGGTCCTAGAGAAGCCGGCGGCGTTTCGGAGTGTTGTTGAATAAATGGCTTTTGTTTTGCAGAGTAGTTTTAAGTTGCACTTACGGATGTAGCACCCAACAGTATTTCTTGACATTGGTTTTATGAAGTGTTCCTGAACCACTGTTGTTGTGATATCCTTTACACGTTGATGTCGTTTTTTTGATGTAGTGCCGCCTGAGCCTCACACGCTTTCCATGTTGGTTTTCAGCCTTTCCGCTTACATGCAGTGATTTCTCCAGATTCTCAGTATTTTCGGATGATATTTTGGACCATAAATGATGCAATCCCTACATTTCTTGCAATTGTATGCTGAGGAACATTGTCCTTCAACTATTTTAGGCCGCAACCAAAATGAGTTTGACACCCCTGCTTTAGAGTCTACGCCTGCCATAGCAACAATCCGTTCGAATGAATAATCGTTTAAAACTCCAAATTCCTCCCTCCAACAAAAAACCTTGATAAACATTAGATGTAACGTTTACAGCATTTCCTTCTCTGACATGAATGAAAACAAAATGCATGAACATCACAAGTCATTCAGGTGTCCGAGGTTTTTGTTAAAACTATGAGGATACGCAGCTCGGATAATGGATGGAAAGTGCAATCTTATGTCAGCACTTGTAAACAAGTCCATACGCTTACTTACTAGCCATCCCAAGTAGCCATTGTATGCTCTTGTTTGGCTCTTGTTAGAATCTGGCTGTGTTGTACAAGTCCTGGTACTCACATACTGCAATAATTATTTTGCCCTACAATTGTTTGTCCATTGTTGTGTATATGTCGATGTAAGCTAATTTTCCAAACCATTTGGCTCTGGTGTTGCTGTTCAATAGTATATGCAGTGCACTGCATCACGTACAAACAATGCCATTTTGGCAGTATATAAATGAGTCACTTCTCTGAGTACTCAACACCACCATAGCCAATGGATATCAGTCATTTAATGGGCAAGAATAAGACGGAGATGTGAGATCCTACTCATAGTGATGGTTCTCGCCTGTGTACCGATCACTTTGTATCAGGTGTGTCAACTCCTGAATAAGTTAGTGATGTAGATGGAGCTTACCGTTAATTATGTAGTTATTTATTTTTAAATGATTTTGAAAGACGTGATTGGGCTTCGGCACTTGATACACAGCGCCTGAATGAGCAGATGCTTGGGCGCAGCCAGGCATGGTAAAACATACGCCATCTGAAACATACGGCATGCATGCACGCACGCTAAAACACGTTAGCTTGAAGCATTCGGGAGCATGCATTCACGCTAAAACATACCAGGTATGTTAGCTTAAAGCATACGGTAGCAGCTAAGACATAAGGACACACGCTTAAAAACACGTTTTTAAAAAGGCAACGGAAGCAAAACTGAGTTCGGTTGTACTTTATTGAGCCATTTTACAATGTACTCACGCGACTGGTACCTGCTAGGGGTGTGCCTTTAGCGTCCTCTTACACGCCCACCCTTCACTCATTGGCGGACTTCCGCATGCCTGT